ACCGCAGTGTCTCCGGCGGTCAGTGGAAAGCGAAGCCGAATGTCCCGGAAATGCAGGTGCCGGCGGGGAGGGGAACGACGGCGCGGCACGGGTCGCTCGCATGCGAATCGTCCAGCAGCTCGTTGCTGTACACGGCCGGGACACCCGGCGCGTTCGCAACGGTGATGTGTGGATGAGCGTTTTTGCAGGGGAACTCCCCCTCGTTGCGCACCGCGATCGCCGTCCCCTTCGCGTCTGACACGACGGACACCAGCGTGAGCTGAATGGACGCACCACGCAGCTTCACCAGCTGCTGCAGCAGCACCGGGTCCTTGCAGCCGCCGCGGCCAATGTACAGCGTCGTCACATGGAAGGCCGTCTGCACCTGCTTGCCGTCCAGCATCTCCGGCGGCACCAGCCCAAGAACCTGCTCGGGCGACGCAATCTGAATCGCGGCGTACTCCACGGGGCGGGGAAAAAGACGCAGAAAAGACTCATAGGCGTTCGCTACCCCCAACGCGGCGGCCATATCGAGTGTTTGGAGCTCCGGCATGTCTGCCGTACCGTGAGTGGAGAGTTCCTCCCACACGCGCCGCACGACGGTGGCTGTGTCGTCTGCCACATTGACTTCGACGAACAGGCCTTCTGTTGGTGGGCGGTACTGCGCAGCGCAGCGCCGAAGTATGCTGCGCACGCCCCGCCCCTCGCTTCCGTCCGCTTTGAAAGTGCGGTGGGCGGAACCACGGCGGCAGACTCGGTCGAAGCAGACATCCACCAGCGCTTCCGTGCCACCGGGGTGCGACCATGCCACTGCCAGGGTCTTGGGGCCAAGACCGACGTAGTCATCGCGCGCGGCCTCGTCGAGGTTCATCTTGTCGATGATGAGGTGCGTGTAGCCCTCGTGTTGCGCGCGCCGAATGGCGTCAAGAAACTGCCGCCTTCCGCCGGCCTCGTCCTGGTTGACCCAGCACGGCGAAAAACCGGCCTGTCGCAGCAGCGCGTACAGGGCGCGGGAGAAGGTGGACTTGCCGCAACCCTGCGGGCCAATGCAGACGACGACGTCCGGATCGCTGGTGGCGACGTCGCCAGCGGACGGCTCGTAGTGAACCACCAAAGACCGCAGGTGCGCATCGGCGGCGACGCACCGCGCGCACTGGTTTTGCAGCGCGATCCAGCGGCGACGCAGGTCCTGCAGCCCGCCGAGGTCCGTTTGCGCCGTTTGCCGCCCCGTCACATGCAGCCACGCTGCAAACTGCACGAGGCAGTCGAAACGCGTCGCCTCCCAGTCGCCAAGGCACCGGCGCACCTCCCTCGGCAGCCCAGCGAGCCTCTTCGAGACCCTCGAGCGGAGTGCCGCGCCGCTTAGACGGTGCGTCACGATGGCCTCCTGCACCGCCCGCTCCATTGCGAATGCGTGTGATCGAAGCCTCCACATCCGCACCACAACCCCTGCCCCGCCGTAGCCGTACATCACCGCACCCTTGCAGTTGCGACGACGCGCGACGTCCTCTCGCAGGGCCGCGTACTCGCCTGACGCCAGCTCCACCGACAATTGGGGCGTCACAGCGTTGAGGCCGAAGGACCGCAGCGCCTCCACGCTGATCGCGGGGTCGACGCAGAGGGCCGCCGCCGAGGCCGCCTCGCGGTGAGTAAGCGCATAGAACTTTAGTGTCTCGCAGGGCCCGTAGTCGACGAGGTGCCCAGACTCCCGCAGAATGGCCGCAAAGCATGCAGTGTACCCTGTGGTGCTCAGGTAGTCGTGTAGAGCGACGACCGCCCCCGCTGGAAGTGCACGCAACGTGTCCCGCCAGACGCCCACCACGCGCCTTGGCACCGCGGCGCGCCATGAGACGCCCGCATCGCCACCGCAGAGGGCGAGATCCTCCTCCGGCACACCGAAGCGCACCAACATGTGCACCTCATCGGTGCCCACCAGCCAATAGCGCTCGCCATCGTGCGCAAAGGCAGCCACGTGGCCGCTCTCCCCATCGATCGCCTCAAGTGCCACCGCCGCAACAGGCGCCTCGCGAGCCACACCGTACGGCGCGTCGAACTCACCGAACTTCCGAAGTCCCTGAAGAGCCGCCACCAACTGAGGCGGGCCCTGCTGTCCGGGCCCCGCAACGAAGACGCGTGCCTGGCCGCAAGGGACATGCTCCCACACCTCCCGGTTCGCACGGTACACCACGTCGTCGCAGCCAACGACCGTGCGTTCCACCACAATGAAGTCAACCCCATCGAGTGTGTGGCACGTGGTACGCACACGCACTCTACTGTTGTGCGGGAATGCCGTGCAAAACGCGGACCGAGTGCAGCGCTCCTGCACCGCCGCACGGGCCCGAGCGGCAGCGTCAGCGGCGGCAGAGCCGTCTGCATGGCCGCTGCTGCCAACGCCGCGCACACCGCCATTCCCGTGGCGCTGCCTCGCACCCCCCCTCCATCGAAAGAAGTTGCGGCCTCCCCGCCCACGGTGTGCGTCACCGCGGTGCGGCTCCGACTCTGCGCAGCCCCACGCCCCCTCAGAAAACATTGGTGTGAACTAATCATTTTTCAAACGCACGGGGAAGCGAAGTCCGGCAAAGGCAGCAGCAAAGGAGCAGAAGGAGCAGCAATCACAACACACGACCCCCCCTCCCTCCACAGGTGTTTCGTTTTCTTCCTCCTTTTTTCCCACACGCCTCAGAGTCAGCCACACCACCCGCTTCACCAGCACGCATTCCCCCGCCCCGTCGCTCTCGTTTGCCGGCATTCACAGCATAATGTTGCGGATGCCGGTGAAGTCTTCCACGTCCGCATCCGTGACGTTGGCCCGCCGCGCCTGCCATTCAGACAAGACGTGCCGTACGACGACATCCGCGGCGAGGTCCTTGACCGCGACGCTGTGCATCTCACCCCTGCCATACTTCGCCGCCACCTCCGCGACGAGATCGTCGTCGGGGCAGAAAAACCGAATGAACTGATACGCCACATCTGCGTGCAGGTTGGCGCCGTTCCCACGCATGTCCTCCAACGTGCCACCCCCGCCAGAAAAGGCCCTGCGCATCTTCCGCTGCACCTCCTGCTCCGTGTCGTGGAGCGTGATGACACCGTTCGCCTCCGCGCTGCTGCTCATCTTGAACCGCAGCCCCTTCAGCGCGGGGAGAAACTTCGTGTGCAGCAGTGCGGGGGCGCGGCACTTCATACGCGACGCTACGTTGCGTGTCAGGAGAAAAAACGGGTCCTGATCGATTGCGCAAGGAACGACGCACTGCAGCGGTGGCTCGCCGGCTGGCCGCCGCAGCACCCGTGGGAAGGCGCTGCTAAAACACGGCGCGGCCTGCACCGCCGGATAGGCCGCCTTCCCCACATTGTCGCTGTCCCTCAGGCCAAACGTATTCTTCACTGCACTCAGCGTCAGCATGCGCTGCACCCGCACAACGGTTGGGTACATGTCCCCCATGTACGCCGTGTTGCAGAAGATAAACGTCTTGCGCGGGTCGAAGCCAAAGGCGATGATGTCCTTTATGTTTTCCACCGCCAATTCGCTCACCTTCGTCCCGCCGACGGGAATGTCGCGGAAAAAATACTTCTCATCGTCGGCTATCTGAACGACCAGCGGAAGACCAAGCGCATCCTGCAGGTACCGCGTGAGGAGAAACGGCATGGCGTGGCCAATGTGCATCGACCGCGCGCTCGGCCCACGGCCGGTGTACAAGTACGCGCGGTGTGCCCCCGTCGTGAAGGACGCACGCACGCACTCGAGGGCGTCCCCAAAGTCCCTGTGGGAGAAGACAATGCCGCGGCGGAAAAAGTGGTGTAATGCCTTTGGCTCCCCCACTGCCTCCTCCGCGGGGCTGGTCGCCTGCGCCCGTCCCGCCCTTTCGGCGCAAACTCTCTCCAGCTGCTGCAGGAGGGGCGCATCGACGGGCTGCGACCTAAATCGCGTGAGGACGCGGCCGTAGTCTACGCCCCTCGGCCCGGCGGCGGTAACACTCCACGGCGTCACGACATCCTCCTCGTTGCATCCCTTGCTGGGGGCCTCCCCCGGCGTCGCGGCACAACGTCGCGTGGCAGCAAACAACGGCGCGGCAGAGCGTGGGACGCGGCGCATCGCAGAAAACCCCAAGCAGCTCCCCCCTGTGTGCACCACACTGACACACCGGACACACAAAGACCAAGACGGAGAGAGGGAGAGAGAGAAAGGGCAACGCGAAGTCCAGATAACAAACACCACGGGATTCCCCGTGGGGCAAGAGGAAAGCTAAGCCAAAGCATGTGCTGTGCCCCTTACCCTCCCCTGCCGGAATCCACGAATGCAGCGCACCCTCCGTGCAGCGAGAGACAGTTGCAACCACGCACGGCTGCTATGCACGCACACGCCGCGCAAGGGGGAAGGTGTTAGGGAGCGGCATGCGCAGCAACCCAAACGCGGCGATCATTGTGCCATGGCAGGCATGTAACCAACCAGCGTCGTGCCGCCGGACGCGGAGACGCTCAGCACAACAGCCTTCCCATCCACGAGGTGCAGCACCACCTGGAGGGGCGTCACCTCTTTGACCCCAAGAAACCGCGCAAAGCGTTTCACCTCCACCGACACCGAGGCGTGCACCATCGCCATGTCGTCGCGACTGTCGGAGCCACCGCCGCCACTGTTGACGCCTTCCCAGTCACCGCCCGCGTCGCCGTCTCCCTCGCGCCCGCACAGTCGCACGGAGTTGTATTTCAGTGCGAAGCTGGCAAGAAAACATTCGGCCACAATCGCGAGTGTGCAGGAGGCGGCAGCGGCGCCGTCCGCCCGTTGGTTGCCCCGCGCCGTGAACGTCATGCGCTCGCACGAGGTGGAGCGGACCTTGTCGACAAACATCGACAGCTCCGTAAGGCCCGGCAGAACGAGTTGCACGACGTCGCTCTCGAGCGGCGGGGCGCTGATGCTCTGCACCTCCATCTCGCTCAGCACACGCACCGGCACGTCGTAGCTGATGTCAAGGTGTGGGCGGGCACCTTGCATCGAGACACGCAGCGCCGGCCGTCTCGCCGCATTTTTCGTCAGTTTGATGGTGGCATTTGGGCAGCGCTCCGCCTGGCGCATGATGTGCAGAAGTTGCGAGAGGTCCGCCACCTCGCAGAAGACGGCGTTGTCCTGCCGCTGCGACTGGCACTGGAAGTCGCCGAAGATGGACTGCGTGCGGCAGCTGGCCCACACCTGCATGCCGTCCGCAACCTGCGTGCTCGTGAAGAAGCGGATACGTGCGGGGTGCAGTTTCATCACGCAGCGGCGCTGAATGCTGCGGCACGCCTGACACACGCCGGCGAAGGTGCGCTGGTCACGCACGGTGGCCTTGAACTTCATCACCCACCTGCCGCGCCGAGAACGAGAGGCAAAAGGAATCGCAGAACACCGCCACAAGTTAAAAAAAAAAATAGTGGTGATGGAGGCAGCCGAGAAAGCGCGCGAAGAAACCACGCGCCCCCTCCCCAACGGCAGTCGTCCGCAGCAGCTGCGAGGTGCAGGGGGAGAGGAACACCGTCCGCACGGCGCCCCGGCGGGGACCGGGCCACGAGAGCCCCACGGGGGGAGGAAGGAGGGAAGGCAGCGCAAGACGGAAAGAAAAAAGGGCGCCGGCGTGCGCGCCGATGGGACGGGAAGAGCCACTCCCCCCTACACACAAATAAACAAAAAAAAAGGAAAAAACACGAAAGCTCGCCAGAGGCGGCTGCGAGCCTCCCCATCACATGTACATCGCGGGGCACGAAGGCTCTTCCCGCTCCTCGCCCCGCTTTGCCTCGCCTTTCCCGCCACGCCCGCGGAAATCACGGAGCGAGACCCAGCGGAGTAGGCGCCGCCGCCCCGGCCGCCCTGGCAGATGACACCCTGTGCGACCTCCCCCCCGCCGTTTTTCGCAGCGCATCTGCACTTGTGGTTTGCGTGCTCATGAGGTCCTTCAGCATCGCCGCCAGCGCCCCCTCAATCGTGCGCCGTTGCGCCACGCAGCCTACTTCCTCATCGTCGTCGTCGTCGTCGTCGTCGTCGTCATCGTCGGTGCGCTGCGTGGCCTGGTAGCTAGCCAACAGCTCCAGTGCAAGGTTCGGTGTGTAGCCAACTTGGCACAGAGAGCCGCACTCCCCGCATATCAGCTCCCCCTGCTCCGTGAACATAAAGGGAAGACACTGCTGGCAGAAGGTGTGACCGCACGGCCAAAGCGTGCGTGGGTCCTCAAATATGTAGAAGCAGTGCTTGCACGTGGCCTCCAGCTCAAGTGAGGCGTGAAACCCCATGATGCTCCCAACCGCAATAATAGTAAGTTTTATCGCGCTGAACAGCCCACGCGCATGGAAGTAAAGGTCCTCCATCCCCTCCTCCATGCGTCGGAGCTCCTCATCCACATAGCCGAGGTCCTCCGGACTACATTGGCAGCCAACGTCGTGGCCAGGGCGTCTGCCGCGCGTCAGCGCAAAGCTCTCAAGAAATGTCCGCACGGCGACGGTGTAGTCCTCCTTCATGTCGGTGCTCCCCACCAGGTGTCTCTGGTCGAGGCGGTGGGTCTTGGCATATTCGTTCACCTCCCGCGTGAGCCTCATGGCAAAGGCGTCGCGATCCTCACCGGCGGCGGGCCGCGACAGATTCGCGACATCCATCAAGGATTCCTTGAGGAAGGCCTCCTGCTCGACCACCTTCTGACGCAGCTCCTGCAGCGTTCGCCAGAGCTCCGCGTGCTCCTCGCGTCCCTCCGTCTCAAACCGCTGCCGCAGTTCGTCGACGCTCACCTTCATCTTTAGCTCATCCTCCGCCTGCGCCATGGCCGTCGCGGACGAAATGCTCTCGCGCGGCGACGATGTCTTGTACCCCTCGGGCAGCCGATGCCGCACGTTGGTTGCATAATTCACCAGCAAACTGCTGACGTCCCTGAGCTCGCCCAGCACACCCCTCGCCTCATTGCGTAACCGCACATGCAGCACCTCCTCGGGAAACGTCGCCAGAAAGAGCGTCAGGTCCTCGTCGTCATTGCCGAACAGGCTGCTCAGCTCCCCAGGGTCGGTCTCGTTCCCGTCGTCGGCGACCGCGATCACTGGCCCCACCGGCTTATTCTTGGGCCTCCTCACAAACGGTGGAATTTGCGCCCTTCTTCGACGCGCCGGGCCACCGCTGCTGCTCGTGCTGGCATTCAGGCTATTCCCCGGTTTGCCGTCGTACAAAAAGCGAGGGACCTTCTTCGGACGCGACCGAACAGAGCCACCCTCTGCGTGATCCAGCGACCACTGCGGTGAAAAGTGTGCGGTGGACCTTGTCCCTGCCTCGCTGCTGGATTCGCCTTTCTCAGCCCAAGAGGCACGTCGGAAACCCCTTCCTCGCTGTCGTGGCTCGCGCTGGACATTCAACAAATCGATTAGGCCAGCTCCCTCCGCGGGCCGCTCCGAAGAGCGCCGGCCACCGTCATCATCACCCTCCTCCTCCGCTTCGGAAGGGACCCACCCGCCCTTCGCGCCAAGCGGTGGCCGCCGCCGCTGCTGCTTCCACCACTCCGGGCCGCCATACTGCCGGTCACCGCTGTCACCATCCGCACTGGACAAGAAGAGAAGGTCACCCTGCTCTCGCTCTCCTCCGTCGGACCACGTGGAACTCCGGCCTTCGGGGGGCTGCGTCGCGTCGAGTGGGTCTCTCTCACTCGACGCAGCCGCGCCGCCCCACCTCTTTCGGCGGTGCGGCTCGCCAGCGGATGCGGGCCCCCCGCGTCCAGAACCGTCCCGCCCTGGTCCGAGTGCAACTGCCTCCCCGTCGTCGGGTCCCCGCAGTGGAGGGAGACGGGCGTAGGGGTCCGCAGAACCAGCGCGGCCTGCTGCTGCCGCCTCCTTTGCGGCTCGCCGCTCCTCCATGGTCATGGAATCCCGGAAAGCGTGTCGCCCCGCCTCCGCCATGGGGGACCAGAACGGCGCCTTCTCCCCCGAAGACAAGAAAGGAAGAAAGCTGCGCTGGTCCGCCTCGGAAGGAGAGAGAACAAGGTGCCCCAAGGAAGACTGGGATGCGCGGTCCTGAAGGGTGGCGCTGACGCAACTTTTCGAACCCGCACGGCTCTCGAGTCGCCCGGACAAACTAGCCGATTTGCCGCATCGGTTGTCCGCTGTTGCCGCGCGTCGCCTCTCCTGCAGCAAGGCCTTCGCCAGGTCATGAAAGGACTCATTCAGGTCTCTCGTGAGGCTCAGGCTGGAGCTGGCGACGAGCCGCGCAGCATGCTGTTTTGCGGCATGTCGTTTTGCGGCATCCGACTCCAACAGACGACTCAATTCCTCGCGTACACTCGCCTCA